GTTGCATTCGTGATTTCTTTTTCATCATGCTTTTAACCCCTTCCAGTATTATTTAAATTTATTTTGTGTACGACTAGCTAAAATCATTGATATCATCAGCTGACATTAATGAGTGATCATCACATATCAATGATTGCTAAGAGATTTATGGGTCCGATCCCATGTAGTTATCACAACAACCCCATGAGGAAGAGAGTTACCATGTTCTCTGTTTTATGATGCTTAAAGTGAGAATGAGGATTAAGTAACTTGCCCAAGATCCAAGTGGCTAGTAAGGGGCAGGACAGGAACTCAGAGCAGGGTAATTCCAAAGCATAGGTGTTTTCCCACTATGCTATCACCCTTATTAAAACACACTTTTTGAAGGCTTTCTATACTTGGCATCATTAAATACTGGTTTTGCCTGCAAGAGCATTCAGTCTAAAATAGTCAACCCTGTGGAGCAGGTAGTGAAGGCATCATAGCTGATCAAGCACTGAAAAAAAAATTGAATAGTAATATGCAAATATTTACTCTGCACAGAAGAGAAATTTTATGAAAGTCATGTTTATGTGCGTTAGGGTGAAGGGTATGGCATTTACCCTTCCCTTAAAATTAGGGTGGATCTCAGGGAAGAATATTTCAGGACCTCCTTAATGTTGAAGCATGAGGTCTTGGTAAAAATAGGTTGAAAGGGCTCATTGGTTATGGGATTTATTCACGGAGAAGGGTTTGTTTTGGGAGTTGAGTAAATTTTCCAGAGAGGATAGGTTCCAGCACTGCCCAGTAGAACTATCTGTGATGATGGAAATGTCCAGCAGGGTCCCCTCCAGCCACATGTGGCCCTTCAGCACTTGAAATGTGACTAGTGCAGCTGAGGAACTGAATTTTTGGTTGTATTAAATTTTAGTTCATTGTAGTGTAAATAGCTATGTGTGGCTAGTGACTATCGTTGAAGCAATCATCTGTTTCAGTATAGGAACAGTAGAAGGCAATAGAAAGTTTAAGTGGTGGGCGGCAGAGATGGAGGCTGACATGTGTGGACTTGAACTTGGGTGTAGAAAGAAGTCCTTGTCAGCCCTCTGGAAGGACACTTGTACAGCAGTATGAGGAAGCTAAGAGACAAGTGGAGGTGTAGGATGTCAGACATGAGATGATCAGGTCAGACACAGGACTCTAAACACAGGGAGGAAGAAGGGGCAAAGTGAGGTGTCCATGGTAGGGGACGTGGCAGGGTTTGGCACCTGACCGATCGTGGGTGGTAGTACAGTGGAGGTTGGAGGTTGGTAGCTGCTTCACGGTTTCCAGCCTGGTGATAGGAAAACAGCTTCTTTTTGCAATGTTGAATTTATGTTGGCATAGGAACATGGAGCTTGAGATGCCTTATAGACAGAGTGTGTATCCTGAGGCTGTATCAGAGAAGCAGGTGTAGGTGGATAAATAGATTTAACATATGCATAGAGATAATATGTAATCCATGCACGCAGATAATATTCACAATTATGTGTTTTAAAAAACAGTGGGAAAGTCAGTGTGAGTGGAGTCAGGAGAGCACGGCAAAGTGTGGTCAGAAATAAAGTTGGAGACGTAGACTTGTAGGTCACGGGGCTACCGGGGACTATCCGGGCCTTATATAACTTCGGACTGTATTCTAGGTATGATGGGAGGCCTTTGGAAAGCTTGAGAAGGAGAATGAGTTTTATTGGACTTTATAAATGACCACTCTGAATGGGGTCCAGAGAACAGACTTTAGTAACAGAGTAGGTGTGGAAGCTGGGAGCTCAGTTAGGTTACTACAGTATTCCAAGTGAGGGATACTGATGGCTTAAACCAGCATAGTAGTGGTGGATATGGAGACAAGTGGTTGGATTCCAGAGATAAATTTTCAAAGCAGAGTCAGTAGAATTTGTTGTTGGATAAGACGTTTGGTGAGAGAGAGAGAGAGAGAGAATGAGAGAGAGAGAGGAGTCAGGGGTGAGTCTCAGATTTTGCCCTAAGCAGTTGAGTGTGTTCTTTGTTGTGATGGGGAACTCTGAAGAAATACCAGGTTTATAACCAAAATCAAGAATTTTTGGACATATTAAGCTAGAGATGCCTATTAGACATCCTAGTGGGGCTGTCAAGGAGGCAGTTGAACATGTGATCTTGGAGATGTCTCCTGATTTGATGAATTCTGATTTGTTAAGGTCTTTGGGGGAAGGAAGGAGCCAGAAGAGAAAGAGAAGCTGAGGGACAAGAGTATTCAAGAGTGGGACAAAGATTTTAGGAAAAGGGAAGTTACAGGATCCTGTTTTGGAATGAAGGTGCTGACCCAGGGAAGGAACATGCCGTTCTGGTTATGGTGTTGTTGAAACAGACCAGGTGTGTTTTGAAGAGACTGGTGTAGTGTGGGCAATAACTGGTGGCAATAACTGGGAGAAAGCCCACACTGGGAGGCTTTGGTATGTTCTCAAGGAAGGGAGAAGGTAGGGAAAGCAAAAGTCAATGATGGATTTAGGAGGCTTCCAACAGAGCACCTGGGCAGAAGCCAAGCTACAGCATGACTTTGTCGTGGTGTAAGTCAGTTGTTGCCTGCTCCTTGTGCACGAAGGCATTTTTAGGCTATTTAATCAAATTTTTATGCCTCGGGGCTGAATAACAGAGTGGGAAGTGTTGACTTAAATTGTTTTTTCAAGCAAGCATAAATGTCAGAATTTAGGAGAATTGTGTGCTGAAAAAAGAGTAGTTTATTTTAGAAGAGGGCATTTTTTTCTAGTTTTTCTCATTTGCCTATAAGTATTTGTCACACGTAATCATCTTGCCTGCTTTTATAAATGTAGGATTTCCATTTACATGGAAATGTGTACTTCATATTTTTCCCATTAAAATGGCCAAGTGTTGAAATATTCAGTATTCTAGTTTATTCTTGTCTCTCGTCTATTTAGGCTTTTAACTGTGAGAATGTCTGCCATTTAAAAAAGCAAGATTTTCTATTATAGTTACGGACTTATAATATACCAATAGGGCAGTGGAAGGGGTTATTGAGAACTCTTACTTAGGCAATGGTTATTCCAGAGAGAAGTGTCTTGTCTTTCTACTTACCACTTACCTCCTCCTCCACTGATTCTCACCTGACAAAGTCGGCAGAAGAGAAGCAAATGCAAGTAAATTAAGTCAATCAGACTCCCAACTTTTATCAGATCCAAGACTTGGAATAGAGGGTTTCCATATTGTTTATAGATAAATCTTTACACTACATACTGATTCACCAGTCCATCCTGTTTCTGAACCTGTGTAAGTAATTAATGGTTGCTTGAAGAGATAAAATTAGAATTCCTTCCATGCGTCCTGTTTCTAGGCAGGGATCCCCATGTTATTGGCTCGTACTTTTTCCCTTCTTGCGTTTGTTGGCATGGTCCCCTCGTCAGAGGTCTGGGGGCACTAACCGGCAGTGACTCAGTCTTGTCCCCCTTTGTCTCATTATAGTAGCTCCTGCGACTGGATTATACTTACGTCTTGTGGGTTGGCAGTAGGGAAGAGGACTTCCTTCCGACACTTGGGCTCAAGCAGCTGTTTCTCTTTCTCCAAAAACACCAGTTTCTCCAGCCCTCAGCTGGTTCCTCCCTGCTAGAAGCCCAAATCTGCCAAAGTCACGGCTAGACCACGTTTGCCCTGTGACAGTGCAAGTGACTCCAGTGTCTTTTCCTCCCCCGCTTCCCAAGATTTCCAAACATAAGCTTCTGTCCTCTTTGTCAAGAGCTTATTTTGTCATCTTGTTTCCCTTCCCCTATAAATAATCCATTTTCCCCCCACCACACTCCCAGGGCAGAGGCGTGCCCCGTATCATATGCTTGCCCTGAGCATTCTTTCAGTGTTTTTTACTTGCTTGACCTTTTGGTTCTTTTCTTTCATCTCTCTTAGGATCTCCCAGCTGAGGTCATGGAAGGTCAGAGTTAAAAAACGAGATTGACGGACTGCTTGTCTGCAGAAAACCGAGCGCCGCACTTTGTGGATATGCACAGAAATCTTGCCTTGTCTGCAGTGCCCCTCGCCACACATTTGCTTCACTATTTTTGTTTCATGGTCTAGAGGCCCGGGTGAAAGGAAGGAACTATAAATAAGAATAACCCTGAGAGTGATAGGATGAGCTCAGATGATCCTTAACTTTTTGGCCTTTCTGTTGGTTTAGAATTCCTCAAGGCCTATTATAGTGACTTATTTCACTTGACTGGGAATACCAGGGGTTTGGAGCTCCTTAAGTCACTTCCAGAAAGGACTCATGGTGAGGGTGTCTGTCCACTTGCTGCTTGTTGAAATACCTTTTATTCTGATGCTCAAAGTAAAGAGGGGATGAAGTGGGCACTAACTGAATGATAATTTACAGACACACTTCATGGCCCTTAAGGAGTTCAACATTACAGGAGTCATAAGGTAAAATGACTAAGTTCTCTACTTCTCTTTTGTTGGGCAAGCTCACTTGTCACTTGACAGATCTTCTTCATGGGAAGCCAGCTTTTGCTGTCTAAGGATGAGGGAGTGCCTTGCCCCTCGTGGCTGGTGTGTTGGAATCAAAACATATTAAAGAGTTAATTCTCTTAAAAAAACACTTCTTAGTCAATAGGCACTACCCACAAAGAGATTGTGAAAACAGTCTCTTCAGAATGATGACCATGATGTATGTCATCATGCAGATATCTTATCTGAGATTTCCATGCTATCAATATTGACATGGTCTCCTTTCATAAGGAATACTCTGTGGATGCACCAGCAGATGTACGTGTATATTCTAAAGCAGAAGTAGAGTCATCATAGAATAATCCAGCTTAAGGTTTATATGACCCCTGAAGGCATCCCAAGTGTAGAAGGGCCATTGAGAGTTCCTCGTAAACAGAGTCTCAGGCTTTTATTTTTATTTTATTTTTTTAAAGATTTTATTTATTTACTGACAGAGAGAGCGCAAGCAGGGGGAGTGGCAGGCAGAGGGAGAGGGAGAAGCAGGCTCCCCACTGAGCAGGGAGCCCGATGTGGGGCTTGATCCCAGGACCCTGGGATCATGACCTGAGCCAAAGGCAGGCGCTTAACTGACTGAGCCACCCAGGCACCCCGAGTCCCAGGCTGTTATATAGACATCCGGGGAAACGCAGGTGCCTGCGGCAGCCCTTGCCTGCCCGCTAGAGTAGTCCTAGTCACCATCCAGATCACGATTCCTTACGGCTCATTCATCTCTCCTCTTTGCTTCCCTTCCCCTTGTGAGGGCTTAGAAGATAAATTACACTCCAGAGTTAGTGTTTATCCACAAGGTCACACCACAAGTCGTAGAAAGAAAACCAGAAATTTGCACTTCCACCCTTTATCTTAATTCCTGGCCCGTGCGGAACCTCTTAGGATCTCTGTCCACCTCCTATGATGGTCGGGAATTCCTGGGTCAGTCGGCTGGAGAGAACTGTGATGGTTATACCTCCCTCTGCATGTTTCCTGGCCATATAGCAGAAATCATAAAAGAATGAAATGGTCAGATCCCTAACCTTTCCATTTCTTTGCTTTATAAATGAATAACAGTGATCTAAAAGCGAAAGAATGTAGCTAACCAGTGTCATTTGGGATCTTCTAAAGTAGTACGGAAACTCTGCATTCTTCAGACCAACTTGTGGCAGGCCAGCACATTCCTCTCCGATGAGGTGGAGTATTGGTGGCGGGGCCGGGATTTGTAGGGCTGGGGCGGGGAGCTGCTGTTTAAAAATACATTTAATTATATTCTTTCTCCGCAGTAATATTGATACCATTTTTAGCCCATTACAAATACTGTGATTTTCATTTAAATCACGTCCATTATCTTATTGACCTAGTTTTTATTTTGTAATCAAAATGTTCTATTTCTGGATAGCTTAGCCCAGAATCTTTTTTTTTTAAGGTTAGGGACCTTTTGTGGAGTTTGGTTGTTTTTTTTTTTCTTTTCTCTGTCATATCTGCGGACAGATGGGTTGCCTCTGTGTTTGCCATATTATGGAAAATGGTATTATATTGTTCTCTGGAAGAGTGAGGCTTTTCTCTATTTAATTTGGCGGTATGCCATGGGACCTCACATCTGGTGACATTTTTGGTGGGTGGATGGTGGAAGGGCTAGGAAATTCTATTTCTATCCAAAATGAGAGGTAGACGTCTGATTCTTTCTTTCCCTTCTTTCTCTGCTCTTCTTCACTTTTCCTGTCTTCAGCTTTCTCTATTCAAAGGATCACACTTATTTTAAGGCCTGCCTTATTTTAAGCCCTGCCTTTTCTCTGATTCTTCCCTCCTCTTTTCTTTCTTTTTAAAAGGGATTTTATTTATTTATTTGACAGAGAGAGAGAGCACAAGCAGGGGGAGCGGAAGGCAGAGGGAGAAGCAGACTGCCTTCTGAGCGAGGAGCCCGACGTGGGGCTCGATCCCAGGACCCCGGGATCATGACCTGAGCCACCCAGGCACACACCCCCCTTCCTCTTTTCTTCCTGCTCTTTTCTTTACCTTCTCTTTCCTGCTCTCAGCAGTGTAGGCCCACTTCTTCGTTTCTTTGCTCTGGCTGGAAGCTCACTCTGGGGAGACCCCCCTAGAGATGCCCCTGGAAATGCTCCACGTTTCCTTTCCATATTATTTCTCAGTATCCTTCTTGATACATGAAGGTACCTTGCTCTTTCCTCCAGACAGCAAATAGAACCAGAGAATGTGAGGATCAAGAGTGACCAGACATCTTCTTTGGCAAGTGAGGAAGGAGAAGGGCAGCGAATGATTTCTCCTAAGATTCAAGGGCAACTTAATGGCAGAGCCAAGTCGATGACCCCATCTCCCTTTAGCCAGAAAGTCATATAGGTGTGGTGCCTGCTTCCTTTTAGCACCCATTTCTCTTAATCACCATCAGCCTTCTCAAATATTTTTCTGTGTAAATGTGTTTTCGGAGAACTGAGTCTTTCATGTGTCTCTTTCTTTTAAAAAGAAGACCCAAAAGGTGGAGTGCTGTAACAGGAGTCCCTCCTGGGTCATTAGGGATTTTCTCAGGAATGGTATTTTGCTCCAGGTCATTTCTGTTGATGAATTCATTCCTAAGAACTGGTAGATGACTATGACATATAATATTTGAGCTTGAACTCCTTCCTGCCTCACTGGAGTCTCTCTGTTAATCAGGAAACCACATTTAAAGCTGTGTCCTGAACTCTGCACAGCATGTCAGCTTGGCCAGGAAGGATAGGGAATTCCTACTGGTAGCAGCCAGTGGGGACCAAGGGAGTAACTAGAGGTCAGATAGGAGCTTAGCAAGGAAGACACTGACAGTTCAGGGTGCTTTTCAGCCACTGAGATTGTCTCTTTGTTTTCTGAATTCCCCTCGTGGCTGAGGTCGGACAAAATCCAGGCTATCAGCCCCCTGAGCCAGTGACCCTACACTTTGGAATTTTATGATCTAACATTTTTTTTTTTTTTTTAACTGAGGAGGCTTAACATAGGGTTGTTAGCTTTTATCTTGAAAAGTAAGGATGTTAAAAACAGCAAGAGCCAAATTGTCATATAATGTTACAATCCTTTCATAAAAGAAAAGATATTTTCACACCAGAAGTAGGAAGAATATAATCTCAGAATAAAAGACAGTCCTCGGGTGCCTGGGTGGCTCAGCTGGTTAAGCGTCTGCCTTCAGCTCAGGTCTTGATCTCAGGGTCCCGGATCGAGCCCCAGGTCAGGCTCCCTGCTCAGCGGGGAGTCTGTTTCTCCCTCTGCCCCTCCCCCTGCTCATGCACACACACATGCTCTCTCTCAGATAAATAAATAAAATCTTAATAAATAAATAAATAAAGGACAGTCCTCTATACCACACACATATAGCTTCGGGAAAAACCCCTGTTGTGTTGTACTGTATTGTATTGTATTGATCTTCCTTAGCCACAGGCCAGCATGAATTTTGTCCCAGAAGCAGTGTAGGTCTGTGATACATGGGAACCACAGCCTCGCTCTGGGGCTGGGAAGCCCCAGCTCGTCTCTCCAGGGAGAACACAGAGGATGCCTGAAGGACACAGCACACAGAGCAGCCCATCAGTGTCCAGCACATATATGGTAGTGCTCAGTAAATGACGTTTGTTTTTGTTCTCTCTTAGAGAAGTAAATTACACTAGAGACTATTTCAGTTTGGACTTCAAGGGACACTGCTCTTGTTGGGCTAATTTTCATTGTAGACTAGGGTCTGATCTTCAGCTGTATAGATCTTTAGAGTGATTTCATCAGTTAACCTCCTGGATGGTCAGGAAAGACTTGCTTTCCCAAGGTCGCAGGAGGCTAACCCATACATAAAAGTGCAGTTCACTGTTCTGCAAGTAGAAGAGAGGCTTTTTCAGGGACCACATCAATTGATTGGTCTGCCCAAATCCCATGTCCTCCCCACCGTGGGGGAGAGGTGGGGTGGATGCTGGGGTGGCAATCACCGTGTTCGCTTTCCTTGGAAAACACAGAATCAAAGCAGTAGGAATTTATTCACTGAGTATATTCCAGCAAATGTAAGGTAGAACCCATTTTATTTCACTGGTGCTCTTTTCTCCCTTTCCTTTGGACATTCCTCTTCATTGAAAGACAGTGAAATATAATGGTTAAGAGAAGAGGCTCTGGAGCCAAAATGGCCAGGTGTGAATCCAGGCATTGCCTCCTACTGGGTGTGTGATATCAGGCAATTTATTTGACCTCTTTGTGCCTTTTCTTTTTAAGATTTATTTGTTTAGGGGCGCCTGAGTGGCTCAGTTGGTTAAGCGACTGCCTTCGGCTCAGGTCAGGATCCTGGAGTCCCGGGATTGAGTCCCACATCAGGCTCCCTGCTCGGCGGGGGGTCTGCTTCTCCTTCTGACCTCTTCCCTCTCGTGCTCTCTGTCTCTCATTCTCTCTCTCTCAAATAAATAAATAAAATCTTTAAAAAATAAAAAAAAAAGATTTATTTGTTTATTTGAGAGAGAGAGAGCATGTGCGATGTGAGCCCCCCCCCCCGCCCCCCTGGGGAAGGGGTAGGAGCCGAGGGAGAGGGAGAGAGAGAAAGAATCCTTGAGCAGACTCTCCACTGAGCATGGACCTGATACAGGCTCCATTCCAAGACCCCAAGATCGTGACCTGAGCCAAAATCAAGAGCTGGCCCAAGCGCCCCTGACCTCTTTGTGCTTTAATGTTGTCTTCTGTAAAATGAAGATATATAATACAATTTGCCACATAGATTTGTTTTGATAAGGAGTTGAGACATGTAAAGTGCTTAGAGTGTTTGGTGCATAATCTGAATGATCAACAAATATTTATTATTTATATTATTGAGGAAGGTAGCTTTGTGGTGGACATGGAAAATGAATAAAAATCAGATGGGCAGGGTTATAGATTTTAAAGGGTTAGATTCGTATCCTTAACTTCCCTTCCTGTAGAATTCAGCTCTCCAATAATCTTTGGTTTCTGTTTTTACCCTTCATTGTTTCAGTAGATTTTCATATCACATCACTCTGTCAAGACTGCTTTTCACTGATCGCATCTTTGGTTGACTATTCTCTGTTGACATATTGAGAGATACTTTGAAGCTGTCCAAGGCTCTTCTCCCCAAGGTGCTCCTTTGGAGGAGCTTCTGTTCTTGGTACGGTGGACCCCTCCCAGCATGTCTTCTGTAGGTCACCCCTTCCTGGCTTTTCCCCCTTGAGCTTGGACTTGCCTTAGTTGGCAGTATTGGGAGAAGCCCCCTAACTCGTGATAAGTCAAGCACGAACCTGTCTGCTGAGAGACTAAGAGATGCTGAGATATTTGCCCAGATATCCTCTAAAATAAGTAGCAAGAATTATAGTAAAGCTGATTCTGGGACTAGCTTTATATGCGCTTTCTCCTATTTTGCCAAGCCCACAGGGCAAAGTGACAGATAGCGTGATTTTTTTTTTTTGCCATTTCTCCATTCCCTGAAGAAACCTAACATCTATTTTCCAGTGGAAGTCAATGCCAGATTGACAAGTATTTAGGGTGCCTTTTATAGGAATGCATGCATTCCATCTACTCTATACCTGTGTCTAATACCTGTAGTATGAGCATTTTTCAATTTCCTCACTAAACTTACAGTGACATATATTAGCCATTAAAATGCTTTATTATAAAATATTCCAGGTACCTTGGCCACCGAAACAAATTAGTCCACCCACCACCTATCTGCGTTATAATGAGAAACTGAAACTGATAATTAGCTAAAAACTTTCCTTCGGTACATCACACGATCATGATGTTCTTGTAGGAAGACTTCTCCTCACTGCGCTGCTGCGTTCCCACCCCTGTAGGTGCAGCTTTCCTCCCGGACTCCTTTCTCGCTTTCCAAGGCAGCCAGAATGAACTGTGTGATTGGACTGCCAGTCTTGCTTGCTCACTGCCGGTCGAGGGGTCAGAGAGATGCCAGCTTTTTGGAGGAGAAGAGGAGAGGTCAGCTGGAAGCATGATTTCTAGCTTGGTAGTCAAGGTTTTTTGGCCGAGGGTGTTGCAACTTTGCTGTCAAAGTTGTGCCGGGTTCTCTGCTAAGGCACAGGCACTGTCCGTCCTCTACTGTGGGACAGTCAGGCCAGATGAACACCAGCTCTTCCCTACGGGCCAGCTGCACCGGGAGGACAGTCAGCCTTGCGGAGTAAGTGACAGTTTCAGGAAACTTCATATGAGGATGGTTGAAATTAGCCAATGAAGAGCCAGGCTCCTTTCCACCTATCTCTTGGCGGTGAGAATGTCCTCTTTGGGTTCTACTTGGCAATTTTGTAGATCTGGCTAGGATAAAGATTGCATGGTGGGGAGATCCCACCCATCCCAGGAGCTGAGGCTCTGCAGAGTGAAGACTCCTTTTACAGCGCACTTCAACGTTAGGTTCCGAGACCTTGAGGTCAAGAGTACTCTTTAACTGAATCACATGACATACATGTAAGAGGAGCTTAAAGGGAAGGTATAATTATTTAGCTCTCCAATTAATTACAAATGTTACCCGGGGACCACAGAGCTCCTAGACCTCCCCATGGAAGCTCAGTGACCCCCTCACATTCCAGATCTGGGCTGTATTCTCCTGCAAGGTCTCAGCCAGCCAGAGTTTCAGCCTCCTTCTCTGGGCAAATGACTGCCAAATTCCATCTCTAGGTGGCCCCCATCCTTACATGCCCGAAAGCTTGTTTGACATCCTGCTCTGGGTGGGTAGCCATCTGACCCTACGACAGTCAAACCCTACCACCCCCAACAAGAGTCTCTTCCTCATCCAGCCATCGTCTGCGGCCAGACCTCTCTGCACATTTGTGATCTTTCCACTGTGGTATCCACTTGGCCTCCAAGTGAGATTCATTCCATCTTGCCAGCATTCCCCCCAAGCTGCTCTACCCTCTTCCCATTGTAATGTCCTTACTTCTCACTCTTGGTTTCCACTCTCACATCTTCTAAGATTACATTCATTAGAAGAAAAGTCAGACTGAAGAATTAGGCACACCCTCTGGCTAGCTATGTTTTACATGCTGTGCAGGAGGTAGAGAATGAGCAGAATTGGGCCAGGCTGGTGCTTAGAGGAGGATGACACTGGGCAAGTCCCTTGGCTTCTTGGAGGTCCCGTTTATGCACCTGTAAATTGTGGCTGCCTCATTCATAGGCTGCTTGTGAGGGCTTGATA